CAACATATATTTATTATTATTATTGTATTCACGCACGCTCGCTGCGAACAAATAATGCAATTACCCTTGATAAAAACAATAAAATCCAAATATGGGTGATATCAGGCCTAGTCTGAGGTACCTAGACGTATTTGATTGAAATCAACAACAAAACCCTGTTCCCAATGAGAATTATTCAAAAATTACTTACTCTACATGTTATTAAAAGTTTTCTTGACAAAATATTATCAAATCTCACAATTATAAAACAAGTAATTATATTTTAAATCGCTAAAAATGGGACCCTTGTTTAAAGACTAACAGAACAATATGGCGTTAAGGAAAGGAAAGGAAAGTGAAGCTGGGAAATCTAAATGCTACCGGAAGAGGCCGCCAATTCGGGCGTACCAATCTATAAAATGAATATTACATCAACCTCTTGCGATAAGATAACATCAGGTGCAGCGCTGATTATTTGCTTATCGCAACTAAATGAGTAAATATTAATTCTGTGTTTTTGGAGTGTCCATAAACTTATTAGGTACTAATTATTACTAATCACTAAATTACTAATTATTACTACGGGGATGAGTGATGATACTTTTGGGGCGAATGGAAATATGTGTGCCTTTTTAATTACCAAATAATATTTTTTTTACTAAAAAATACAGTATATAGTTTATCAACTGTCAGCGTTGTCTTGAAATAAAACAACCCAATTTTATATATCTGGTAGAGTTATCATCATAAATAAATCATAATAAATCATAAATCATAATTATTCCTATATAAGCATTAATCTGGTAAATATGAGTTTTTTGGTTTGGTACATAATATACGAGAGTATACCAATTTCTGTTGGGATGAGTTAAAAAACCTTCCAATTCAAAACACTAATAGTATGGGAGTGGTCAAAATATAACCCTTTAACAAGTTCTTTTTGATTTTTTTCTCTCTTATATTTTGTTTGACTGAAAAAAATTTACAGAGCCAATAAAGGTCATCCGGTTGTCATTATCGTTCAACGCTTTTTAATGCCCGTAAAACATAACTAATAATATACGGTTAGGTTCCAATTTTTTAAATGATGATTTGTTCAAAACCTTGTTTTCCTTTAAGAGATCTTTAATTATCTTTACTCATATTAAGTTTATGTGAAGAAAAAAAATATGAATTCATCATCAGACAAAAAAATTAAAATATGTCTTAATCTTAATTAGGTCTATATTAGTAACACAATGCTACAAACAAGTTTAATTTATTACATATTGGAAATTAATGTAAATCTTTATGGAATTTGTATACTTTCAAGGCTGGTTACCGCGTAAACATGGTCCTACAAAAAAGAACCTCGTGGCATTATTAAAGTGTTTATCGAGTTGAAATAAACTGTAAAATATTCTCAAAGATCCAAACTATGCCCTGGATGAACTGAAACTTCGCAATAGTTTCTTCAAGTATTTACCACGGTATTTACTAAATCATTTTAAAAATCCGTAAATTAGTCTTTTTCACATGTGATTTTAACTTCTAAAATCTAAATAATAGTTCAAAATTAATTTCCCATCCATTGCAAGCTCTGATATGTTGAGAGCACAAAATGCACACAATCATAGAAAAAAAATTTTTATAATGTTGAGAGCTTTTACAATAGAGGCATTTTCAATCCCTAACTATATTTCAATCCATATAATCCGCCATCTTGAATTAAAATTCAGGCTGCCGAGTACAACCCCCTTAAATAATAAATATTAGCAAATATTACAAAAGAAAATAGGTACACAGTACTAAATAAATAATTGTTAAAATTTACAAATATATCTTTAAGATGACAGACAATGTTCCGATGTATGAAACATCCTTTTGATGATTTTTGAATACTAAATCGCCTACTTTTCCTACAGCACTACATCATGAGCGTGGTCAGAATCCTTGATTGTTTTAGGTATCGAATATGTATGTATTCATGAATTATCCATAATCATTACTAGTGTTTTCCATACACGCAATCGCCCATCATGTTCAGGCTGTCTCCAGAAAGACAACAGTGACGTGAACTTCTGATAAAAACGAGGTCAAAGTCGCAACGGACAGGTGCAAGTGTCGAGTCATTGTGTAAGTTTACCAGAAACTATTATCATATTCTCACACCAACACAATGCCTTACAGGAAATTATTGGAGTGTTTTACTCAATGAAATACTTTTCTGTGTGTAATGTTGCAAAAAAATTCAATATAGTATAACTTGTTTGATGACACTGGAAGTAATTTTGAAATACATTGAATTCGGGTTTTAAAATTAAAAACTAGTCTTCCCTAAAAGACCAACAATTATTTAAAACAATTACGAGATTTGCGAAGATTATTTTTATTCAAATCGCTTGAGGGGTTTTAATAAAAAGTCTGCCACAGTAGGCCTACAGGTTTTAAAATTTTGTTGAGTTATTACTGCTTTATACAATTAAATTTTAGTGGTTCACAGACATGAAAATCTATTTCTTGTAAAAAAATCTGCTGTACTATATTGAAACATATATGCGATACTTTTTAATTTAGCTTTAAAAATTACTTTTAAAGTGATTTGTTACTTTGTTACGAAATAACTCATGCCAACAATCCCAATCCGTACAATTGATAGGCCCTATAGATATAAGATAATCCAATAAGAAATAATTTTAAGAGTTACTGAGATATTAAGATTTTCCATTGATTTCGTAATGTAACGTTATATTGCAAAACATGACATGATCAATTTTAAAATCAGAAAATAACATTGCAAATTCTTCTTTTTGACTAATTCAACTCCCTAATGTGTGTTGTTAAAAATACGGCCATAATGTAAACGAATCTGGGGAGAGAACTTTAAAGGTCACTGGGGCAGAGTCCGAGGGAATTTACTTCGTTTTTTTGACGGCTCATCTACAGACCAAGACCTTTCTTTAGACACCTCTACCAAGCTTCTACGCCCGGCCGTTCTCTCAAATTAGTGGAGACAAAGTTTCTAACTAAATATATATATCCCCCCATGTTAACTTTATGGGAGAAAACAAAACCCAACTTTGATGGAAAATCCTGCCCAAATTTGTAAAGATTTCAAAAATTAAAACCACTTTGCAAAAATACAGATCAGGGCCATTTCTTTTACACTTTAATCATCAAAATTGATCTAAAAATGAGGGATGAGTTCTGTTCACAAAAATCGGCTTAGCGTATTATGATTATATATATGGAAGATAGATATAGATGTTAATGTTACAATGTGATCATAAGTTTACTTTGTTGCATAGACTAAACTACAACTAATTATGTGTTATTTTATGTTTTATGTGTTAATTACGTAATGATTTGCTAGTTCTGTGCCAAATGTCTGTGATTGTAGTATCCAATCCAAAGTGTATGGTCATATGCACAACAAACACATAACACATCGTAAACGTCACAGAACAGTCGAAATCCCACCCTCACCAATCAATATGTGAAATGATCTAAACATAGTCAAAACTTCCAAATGTTTAACTTTTTCCTCATTTGCGTCTAATGTTAAGTCATTGTGCAAAGTTCAGTTTCCATCCGAATCTATTTCCAGCGATTATATTTCAGGTGGATTATTACATCATCTTTCTGGTGGAACCAAATTAAAGTATTGCCTGAGCTAAGCATTATTGTGTGTCTACAATAAATATGTAAGAATTAAACCGAATTTCAAACACTTGAAGAAGAGTATCCATAGTAAACAAACTCTGTATAAGAGAAGACCTGTTGATTTTAAGCCGAGAACCTTGGTAAGGTCAGTGCCTGTTTCAAAACTGGTTTGATACGAGAATGACTAATTGAGTTTACATACATTTTATCGAGCAACGGTGCGTTTCTTCTCTTGAATTGGATACCACCTTGACATTGATCATCAAAAGATGTGACATAATTATGGCATACTGCATTTAAATTTTAGTTTAGTTAGAAGGGTTTTGACAATCCTAATACGTAGTAATAGTATTAAACACGTTTATTTAAACTACATTTTACGAAAATAAAATTTTTATTGGTTCAATCCCCGCTTATTGTAATGTATTGTCATTTTATATTAGGATGACGAAATACATTCTCAAAACAGGGAGGGTCAACACTATTTGTTTCCCTCTTACAAAGGACCTAACGAACATTATATAAAGAAAGAATGAATGATGAATCTTTAAATTCGCAAATAATTTCAACAAAACAAAAACGACCACCCACAACAACTTTTAGTCTAAAACTTACTGAATTTTTTTTAAATGTATCTTTGGGGTTAAGGTTAGTTCAGAAACGTTAAAAGTTTGCTTATTACGAAATTACGTAGCATTTTGACATCTTCCATAATTTTCTTCCTCCCATGCACTTCTTATCTCATCTCTCCATTTTATTCCTAGTTTCTTCGTCACACTCTTTATTCACTATTTATAGCCTACTAAATTGCATTATACAGGTTGTCCCGTAACTCTCTGGACATTATGTATATAGCGTTATTGCTTAGGTCAAGACAAACACATTTCACCATAGGAACATGGGTCTGTGGTGCCTAGTTTTCCGTCAGTCTGTATTTATGTGTTTTATACAAAAACATTAAACACTCCTAAACGGGTTGAGATACAACGTTGAGATTTCGCATACATGTTTAACTTGTTAAGACCAATCTTTGTTTATGTTTCCTACAGTGAAATGTGTTTTTCTTGACCTAAGCAATAACGCTATATACATATGTCCAGAGAGTTACGGGACACTCTGTATTTGCTGAAGAAATCCAATCAATATAGGTCAAAAAGATCAGTTAGTTCATGACCTACATTTTTGCTGTACCAAAACCCGCATTTTGTCTCGTTATTGACCGATTTATAATCTACAACAACCTTCTGATTGAAAGTCGTACTTTCTCAGAACACAATGATGACGTCACTAGGGACGTCCCTATAGGCCGCGGACCTGTGCGTGGAAGGGTTATGACGTAGTACCTAGGCTGGGATATCCCATGGTTTGGTGGGGGCAAGACAAGCTTGTATAACCACTAACCAGTGTCTGGTCAGAACATCACTATCACATTCAGACCGCAGACCCCAACAACGACGATCATGGTGAGTCTTCTATAATCTGCACTAGATTGTCAAGGTCATAGCTTAATTTGCTAAGTATTTCTTTTTTGTAGTAGATGTTTATGGTTGTTTCTAATTCTAGATATATTAACGCTTAGGTTTTTAGAGACACGCACTGGTATTTTCCTTCTTTTTAAACCGAAGTGTAAGATTTAATCGTGTTTAATTATTTATTTTGCCATAGCTTTATACAAATGTTAATTTTTAACAAACCATCATATTTTTAATTTGGACATTTATGGTTAATGTTATTTAACGGATTATTGTAAAAATTGTCATTTACGATTAGGAATAAACAGGGTGTTTACTATTATTTTTTTTAGGAATTAAAATTATGATACCGGTATTAAATTTCCCCAGTTATTCCTTAAAATATGGATTAACTTCACGATTACAAAGATAGCTTAAAATATGTATCATTATAAATCATGGAGGATGGAGGATTTAGCTCTAAAGGTTCTTTCTGTTTTTGATTAACTTGTTCTAACAGAATTGTAACTACTATTACTACTAGCCATATTCTTAAAACGTCTTTGTTGTTAGTTAAAAAGCTATTTTCACTGTTGGGTAGTCTCAGTTTTTTTTGGTGGGAGTCTCTTAACATTTAAACGTTTAGTATTGGTCAAATTACTCAGGGATTGATGTAGATGGCCTCTACCTTCTGAACGGTTTTTGGAAAACTAAACTAACACTTGGCCTTATTACATGTATAAAAACACATAAATGATTATAAAATTGAATTTTGTCAATTTACTGAGGATAAAGGGTCCTTAAAGATTTAACAGCAGAATTCTGTAATGATAAGTGTGTTATTTGTTTGAACTTAGACATAGAGATGCCAGTATCACAAACAATATAATTTGAACTCTGCAAGATAAGGAAAGGGCAACCCAAAACTCTGAATCAAGGTCATTAGAGGTCAAATTGGAAAATAATAAATAAATATACACTTGTCAATAATATTATACAATATTTTGAATTCAGTTAGTAGTTAGCGATAGGTCTACTAATTTTATTATTCTAGGGAAGATATTTTTTAGGTAGCTTCAATCATAATCGTGTGTGAGATTGATCAATAATACTTTAATTTTGTATTGACAATCTTATTTTAGCATTTGCTAACCTGTAGGGGAAAACATGGTTTAGTCATTAAGTAATATTTTTTGGTACACTAGTATATTGACTAAAAAAATGAGTTGACTCTATCAAGAAAACCACAACCATTATGGAAACAGCCTGTCAAATACAAGTAATCATAGGGATAATTGTACTCATCATGGACATCTTTAGAGTAGTCTACAAGCAATCATCAAGAAAACTATTGTCATTACCAAACCTTGATACTAGGGTGTAAAATAAACAATATATTATGAATTGTGTAAATAATTGATTACTTAAACAACATTTATTTAATAATTATAGTACTTTTTATGTGGTTTTTTATTAAAGAAGCTTGACCCTTTATGGACATATTTTCAGACCTTGAAATTCTCCGATTTTCTTGGTATAGTTAATTATAAAGAGTCAACGTTTCTTTAATAAAAAAAAAACCCATAACAATTACTATAATGATTAAATCATTTTTTTAAAGTAATCAATCATTTACACAATTCATCATATTGTTTATTTTTCACTCTAGTATCAAGGTTTTCTACAATGACAATAGTTTTCTTCATGATTTACTTGTACGGTACCTACTCTAAAGATGTCGACGAGTGTAATTTTCCTTATGATTACTTGTATTTGACAGGCTGTTTCTATAATGGTTGTGGTTTTCTTGATTATTGTTTTTTTACCATCAATTTCCACAACAATAGTAATTTCCCTGATAATTGCTTGTGGAAACGTTTTTCCTAATTTGCCCCTAGTTTATACAACAATCTGCTTGGACTAGCTGGCTTGGACAGTTATAAAAAAAAAACAATTAATAAAAGATCTTTTTTTTTAAAAAAAGATTGATAAAAGTTGTTTTTGTTTGAGTGTTTTTTGTTTATTTTTTTATGTTTTTGGATCTTATTTGTTTGAAAACAAACTGTTGTAAATATTCAACAATATTCCAGAGTAATTATTAAATTTTTATTCATTCCACAGGTTTCCAAGATGAGTATAGTTTCCCTGCTGATAGCTTGCATGATCGCCTCCGCCATGGCCCAGAGATCGCCCTACGCCGGAGCTTCCGATCCTGGGGTACTTCCCCAGTATCTTCCTAAAGACGAGAACAACCGTTTTGGCGCTGACAGTGCCCCCCTGAACCCCGGCACCCCAGCACCCGCTCTACACCCTGGCACATTGGAGACTGAAGCTCTCTACAACCGAGTGCAGAGCTGGCCTGACGACAAAAAACCTTTCTGGTTCCTCAACTCACAAGCGCTCGATGCTCAGGTACAGTCACTACTCCTATTGTCGTAAAACAGAAATTATTAGAATACTCAAACATTGTAATATTTTAATTTAGTTGGAAATCATTCAAAGAAATGATTCTCATGTTTAAACAGTAGCGAAAATTTGCCATTAGAAGTAGGGGGGCAAAATCCACCTGCAGAAGGCATGGGGTTATAAGAAAGATTAATTAATTTATTACCTTCTAAATTTGGGGACGCTCTAATCACCATCACTGGGTTTGACATAACCTAGTACTCTGGAAGTTGCCAGCTTGATCTTGGATCTCTTGGAAGTTGTTGATCAGTTCATTAATGCTGTTACAGTATACAAAAGAATAACCAACAGAGTAAATATTGATAGTGTAGAAGCCTATATAGTTGAGATTGCAATCAATTGAAGTGATTAGCTTATACTTGTCCAATGTATACCAATGAGATAACTGATGTGACAAGACCAGGACAAGATACACATGCAAATATGGGGAGATATAGTAGCAGGATATTCCAAGTTCTAAACTTAGCACGCAGTTTGCTGAATACACAAAGTGGTTCTAACAAGCGTAATTTGAATATTTACTACCATTATATGCATGTAGCTTAATATGGGTTGAATTTTCTACATTTAATTGGTGCTATTTGTGTGTTAATTTTGTGAAGAACTGGTTTGAAGACAAGTTGGGAAAGGAATTTAAACAGACTTCATATCTCTTGTTGTAAATCTGAAGCCTTCTATATGTGCATATGTAAGTGTGATGATGTGAACTGAATGTTTCTCTCACATTTTAGGGTAGATTCTACAATGTGCTTTAATCTTCCGTTAAAATTGCTCAAAGAACAAGAAACAAATACAATTCTCTGTATTTAATCTAATCAGTTTAAACTAACCTCCAATAGTATCTTTAGCTGATCCATTAGGATGGTAAATCAATAAGGGGTTTAATCTATCTTTTCTGGAGATTCTAATCCTTTCACAGGAATAGTATCTTTTTTTTTCTCTGAGTGAAAAACAACAACAAAGATACCATTCCATTATAAACCCACTGGTTTTATACCAGTGAGAACAGAATATTGTTATTCTGTGTTTGCTGGTTTATACATTAAATATATTCCTGAGGTCTGATGATATTGGGCTTTTCGACTATGACTAAAGAACAAGCTGGGATCTTAGTAACACAATACTATAAGTTATTTGCCATTCATTTTTCACCCATCTCCGCGCTCCCTTTGTTTTTACATTTTGGTGGCTTAGTAACTCTATAGCTATTTGTGTGCTATAGTGTGCAAAGTGGTACTTTACTGCACATGAGCATCCTTTAAGTGTTGCCCACTTATTTTCAAGCATTCACATATTACTGACTAATAAAAGCACACTGTTTTGTGTTGTTTGGTTGAAATACTGGGGTGTGGTAAAAAAATGAGTGTGGAAAAAGTAAGTAAATTCAGCAATTAGCTACTTTTCGGGCTATGTTTAGTGCGAGGAAGCCCACATTGTCAGATAACTGTAGGAAAAAGTAATTTGGTATAAGTTAACACTAGTTTATGTTGTTACAGAGAAAGAAACAACAACAACAACAAGCTCAACTAGAAGCAACAAAGAACCGTCAGTCGCCTTTCGCTGCTGGATCCAAGAGGAAGACAAACTAACAAAAGAAACATTTTTATGATGGACGCTTTTTATAACTGTGATATTTTAATTAGGCTCATTAGTTTTGATAGATTTGTTGAAACAGTAAAACATCTTTGATGAAATTATCACTTATGTAGTTAGATAATTTAAATAAAACAATCTTGACTCATTTTCATTACCAATCATGCTCACTGTAAACCATTACTTGTGGCAATGTTTCACATTATTCATATTAATTATTGTTGCTAAAATAACTGCACCAAATTGGTGCGGTGTTTTTGCAAATAAATAGCCTGAACAAGTTACTGGGTAACTTGAAGTATTGTAAAAAAATAAATAAATAAAATTTAACTAAACATATCTTTTTTTTTTTAATAATGATTTATACAGAGTGGAATGTATTTTCATTAGGTAGGTACTTTTATGTAGTCAGATGATGTAAAAATGATAAAAGTGAGAATCGTGTATGTTGCATGTGAAAATCCTCAATTCATAAAGTATATCAGTACAAGTATTTATTGATTGTATATATAAATATAACATTGTGTATTATATGTATATTGTAAATTAATAAGTTATAATTTTAAGTAAATAAAAATAAAGTACATTTGACCATCAATGTTTTAAGCTTATAAATCCATAATATCCAAATAAAATACTGAAAGACTCCATTTAGTTCTTATAGGTTACTACAGATGAATACAAAAATAAAAGGGTTTGTATTCATTGTTAATACTGTACTAAGTTGAAGGGCCAATGCTAAGGAATTTTATAAGTATCCTATAATAAACTACTGTATTTCATAGGTAAGCCTGATTTTTTAAGTATTTTGCTTGTAATTCTTCAATGTATCACAATTTTTAACTTCTATGCGAGGCAGTTTTTTTACTAACATTTTTTAAAGTAGCTCGTAAAATTGTTTACATTTTGTACAAGTAGCTTTATAAATTAACTTAAAAAAATTAAATTATTCTTTTTGTCAACTAATTAGTTGTTCTTATTTTAGTTTATCAGTTTTGAAGTCCAAAATATGAGGAAACAAGAAAATCTGAATTTGCGACTATACTCCGTTCACAAAATTTAGGCGGTTTGGGAGGAAGTGATTCCATCCCCTCCACCTTTAACATAATAAATTGACAAATTAAAGTTGTTTAACTAACTTTAAAACCATACGCGACAGCTGATTAGCTTATTAATACATTAAGCTAAAAAAGTGGAACACAGGGAAACTACCCCTACAGCTTCAACCGCCTCAATTTTGTGATCAGACTATATATTACATATATTGACGTTTATGGTCAAATGTACACTATTTTCAATTCCAAAATACTTGACTGTATTCTACAGTTCTGAAGAAAATACATTTTGATTCATCACTCTTAACATCAACTTTGATGCCTATGAATTTGGTGATAATATCATTTCACTCTGTGTATTATCTGGTTTGATTTTGGCATTAGACTTTAAAAAGCTTAAAGATAACGAGTGGCTGGTAGGGACCAAAGTCCCTAAAAATCTCAAATACAAAACAAATTATTGTAACATTTAAACAAACTGAAAATTGATTCATCAATGTGTCAGATAGATATCCCTGTACACAATATCCTTTGGGTGAAAACTATCTCTTTGTTTGCCTTGGTTTTTGTTGTTAATTTTCAATAATTTAATTCCTTCCAGAGTTTTAAATCTCCTAAAGTCAACAGATGTAATTGTTTGTGAGTAAATACTGTTTACAGTTAAAATACTGTAACATTCTGTTAAGAAAACTAATCATCGATTGATTTCTAAATACTTTGACATCAGTTAGGCTTCCATTTCCATGTTGTCGAAGCGAATCTCCATATATTTTTATCTGCATTAACACACATATTTTAGTTTGTTTAAGCAGATTATTATTTGGAACTTTTTTTTGCTTTGAACAACCCCCCCCCCCTTTTGTATCTGCTTCTCCCCCAAACAATATCATTTTCCACCTATGCTGTGCACCATTCCTAAATTCTCTCCTTTGTAGTCGCGGTCTTCCCCTTACATGATACAATTCAACACTGCGTTACCATTCTAAACCAAAAATAGAACCATTGACTATTGGATAGTGAAGTTGTATTAATAGTCAAAGATAGAAAACTAAAATCAATAAAAATACCTCCGCAGCAAACCTGCCGACTAAGCGAATTTCCATTTGGCCGAACTGATTTTTAATTAAATCTATTTAACTTAACATTAGGTATAACGAGTACCTAGGTTTGTTGCTACAAGGAAACTAATAATGTGTTTTTTAGTAAAATATTAATAGCTTGGTATAAAATAAATAAATTTGCCAAGTTTGATCAAAATATATATAAACAGCAGTGTCCGGCTTTGTTGGAAGCTGATAGTTAAAGACATTATTGATGTTTTAAGGATTCCACATAACACCTAATTTAAATATTTAAAGTCTTATCCAAAATTATAATTTAAATATTTTTCATTATTGTGCGATGTCATAAGTGTCAGATTTTTACAGTAAAAATAATGCATTAGTCTAAACATAGCAACAACAACATCACTCTCCAAACATTTCCACTTCCAGACAATCAAACATTCCAAATGGACTTAATAGCTTGTTTGAATAACAATTAGGTAAGGAAAATTCTAAAAGGACATTTCACATTTTTCACATGCAATACAAACATAAGCATTCTGGTGATGAAGTAAGTATTTAGGTTTCTTTGCTTATCTAGTGTAGACCCCCTACTCAGTACTCGATTTATAAAAAATGAGGTGCTGGAACTTTGACCTTTTAATGTGATTTGTAAATATTCAAGCTAATATTTTTATCCATCCGAAAGAGAGGTAACGGAACTCCGATCCGCTGCGTTCCCCTGCAAATCTAGCACTGTGTTTATACTCCAATGTAGTACAAAATTTTTATCAACAAATAATGTTTGTGCTTGAAATTGCTTTAGATAAAAAAAATTTACTTATACGAACTTTCAAGCGATAGTATAAGTATATACTACACCAAAAACATCAACAAAACACTCTGAACTTAAAGCATAGTTATTATCTTAGCCTTAATGTAGGAGGTCAAAATTCTTTCAGATTTTTACTTGATTCAACCAGAACAGCTTTCATGCTACTTTCCTCAACCAAACTATCCAAGATACAAATATCTAACTAATGAATGGGGCATCCCAGAAACAGTTTCTTTCAAACATTTCCTTATGCAATAAATGATATGCTAATGACAATGTTATTAAAACAGTTGAATTTATATTGTATAGTAAAATACCCGCGCCGCAGCAAATCTGCAGACTAAGCAAATTTCCATTTACCTGGCTGGATTTCTACTAAAATATACCCTGAAAATTGTCAGATTTATTTCCCACTAGCAGACCAGACAGTGTCCTGTCCTAATGTGGTTTTATGTCAAATGCTCGTTCATTTTAAAGATATAGTTTTTTAAAGATATTTTTTCATTTCATTTAATTTTCAAGATGAACTCGTTCGCATAGCTCACTCGCTCACTTGCCTCCAGGTTGATGTGAGTAAGCTAATGTAAAGGCAATAAAAAAAAAATTTAATCAAATTGCTAAATAAAGGTTGGATAGATTATAAATTTCTTTAAATAAAAACCTTCCCCTGGCACTAAGGAACACAACAAAAAAAGAATCATCCAATTCAGTGCACTCGTTCTCGAGTTATGGAATACCATCAAAAAAGGGATTGACACTATTGTAATTCTTGACGAATTAACAATAAAGAATATTGAATTGTATTGTATTCATTTTTTATTAATATAAATAATAAGTACCTACGGTTGCTGCTACAGGGAAGGTATTGAGGTGTTTAAATTAAAATGTTGATAGCTCAATATGAAATAAACAAAATTTACAAATTTTAAAATATATATCCATAAACGAGCAACCTACAACAGTTTATTTATTCTCCATAATAATAACAAGGAAATTTTAAATGTAAAGTTTTTTTTTACTATCTGCGTAACCGTTAGGCATGGCATACAACAAGGCTTTGAAATATAAAATTATTTCTTTTTCTCTACAAATGGCCTGGAAAGAAATTGTGAAATTGTATGTTTTTAGAGTAAAAAATGGGAAAAACAAATTTTTACCCCACATAATCCCCCGTTCCTATAGTCCGATCATGCTGGTTCGCGAACTCGTTCGAAAGTAGGGTTACACATTTCTACCAAATTTCATCAAAATCATCTGATAATTTTTGCTCAAGTTATCGCACTAACGGAAACACACACACATATATTTATATGAATTTGAGGGTGTTTTTGGCCTCTGCATACCTTAAAACGAAAAAGTAAATCGGTCCTGGGTCTAGGTCTTACGATGAGTACTAGGTAATAGCTTCCCTATATGGGAAATTTGCTAAAAATTAAGAACTTTTTTACAACCCATCTAAAAACTGTTTTCTTTATAGAAAAGGAGCCATTCCCTACATGCATTACACACTCTTTGGTTTTCTAAAGTGTATGAACTTTGGTTGATTGACTAATGACTACAGTATCTAGTGTCCTCCGTGGAACCAAAGAATTGCATTATTGCATACGTTTGAAATTATCAAATAATGTACCCTTGTAGGCTAGCGCAAGTTTTAATAAACATTATGCTCATAACAGATAAATAGCTCATTGAAAATCAAACACAATACCGGTACAATAAACTTTAAGGATATACAGACACAAATTTAAAGTGTTTATATTTCAAACAGCTAAAGGTCGAGAATCATGCGATATTTATTACAAAAAAGGTATTAAAATTAAAAAGGGCTTGATTAATAAATTCTGTCAGAGAGATACACTTGGTTTTATTTACATTCAGGTTTAACATTCATATGTTTAATGACTTTTGAAACATTAATTTGTTTAGCTTCAATATCGATGCCTTAAGCAAATATAAACAGAATGTAAAGAGTTAAAACCCTACTTAAAACAAGAAAAATATGAGATATGGCAAGCATATTCATAACCTTAAAACTATAAACATAAAATATAATTCAACAGTGGAACATAAAGTAAAAGCTCTCTCGTACCCGAAATGTATAAAATAACCCTTAACTCTACAACTGAGCTACAAAATATGATATGTTACAAAAATATATTTATAAAATACAAACCAAAGGTACATAAATTTTAAAATACAAAACCAACTACTGTAATTGCTTGGGGTCCTTAAAACTACATTACACTTATAGGAATTAAACTATTTACAAACGCACAATTTTTGTGCTAATTTGAAAATGGTAGCTGACAGCTTTGGGGTTTAACTACTATTTTTTAAATCATGAAACATCATAACGTAAATAGGCTCTTGACTTTTTTATTCAATATAAGTCTTAAACATATAAAAGAGCTTAAAACCAATGGTTTAATCATGTTTGTTTGAAGTACAGTTCATTATAACGATTTTAAGGATATGTCTTACAATAAAATTAACTACAAACTCTTTGTTAATGCTATGATGGGTTCTATGCCTATAGTTACTATATTAATGATATTTTCTATGACACCATCATGAATATGGATGCTTAAGGCAACTGCCAGATCCAAAACAACTATCATCGTGAACAATTTTCATAAAAATATACTTATGCAGTTTTATACAAAATATCATAATCTAATCAGCCTATGAGATTTACTACTTATTTATTTCCTGCTAATTTTACTCGTTGATTTTTTTATATACATTTTCTTCAAAAATATATTCTAGATCAAAATTACACAAAATGGCAGTCCTCTTTGCATTTTGGAATGTTAACATCTACTTATCACATAAAAACTCAAAGTTTTTACCTGCAGAAGCAGGTAAAAAATACAGTTAATTTTTAGTTAGTAAAAATGTTAACTAAACTTTCAAGCTTCTAAGCAAATAACAAAGTTTTAAATGCAACCATAATTTATTTAATGTTATATTTTATCTTATTCAATCGACCCTTAGTTTAGTTTCATTTTAGAATTTAGCCTCCGGATTACGTTGAATATATTAAAATGGTGTAAATACCTGCTTCGTGGTAATCCTAATGTTGCTAGTGTCGCAACTAGTTTCGACTTTTTACAAAGTCATCTTCAGGCGAAGGTGTCAAGGATGTCAAATGGTGGTCACTTCATATGAAGGTCGTCATTACACATAAATGTACATAAAAACACGAACACGAACACGGACATTAACACGTAAAAACGGTACATTTAACACGATTAAACGAACAACGGTAACTGTAAAGGAATGATGTGACACGACCGGGATGGATGCAAGGTCTAGACTACCGGTCAACGTGGTCGGTCGGTGCGATGACGTCACTCCTTTTATCTTGTTATCAGTCAGCTGTTGTAGGTCCCATCCCATTCATTCCTGACTCTTTCTCTAGTACTTTGATAGCCGTATCATAAATATAATTTGATTGGAAGGAAAGCTTGTCGTTTAAGATGTTTTGTCTGTCAAGTTTTACAGCTCGGTATATTTCGAATTCTTCTAGTGTGTTTCTATTAAAATGGTTGTTAGATAGATGCAGTACTGTCATGTTGTTGTCGATATTTGTATAATTATGGTTATCTGAGACTAAATGTTCGGCAAAAGTTGAGGTTTGAGCGGATGTTGTTTTTCTTGGTAAATGTTCTCTGAATCTTTTTTTGAAGGAACGAGCTGTCTGGCCAATATAGTATTTAGAGCAGTTGTCACAATTTATCTTATAAACGCCAGTCTTATCGAAAATTGGAGTTGTCGTTTGGGGCCGTTCTTTTAATAAAGACCCAAGTTTGTTTACTGTTTTAAACGATACAGTGACGTTGTTTTTGGCCATAATATTTTTGAATTTAGTACTTAGAGATGAGCCGTACTCCGTTGAAACATAGGTTTTTTTATCTTTTGTTTTTGATGTTTTTCTTTTTTGGTGTTTGAGAATTAATTTATCAATAATATTGCTCTGATAACCGTTAGCGACAGCAATGTGTTTGAGAATGTTTATTTCATCGTTGTAGTTCGATTGACTCATTGGCACTGAAAGCAATCTATGTACAAAGCTATTGTATGCGGCTATTTTTTGTGAATGGGGATGATGAGAGTCTGCGTGGATGGTTTGGTCTGTAATAGTTGGTTTTCGGTAAGATATTATTTCATGCAACCACACATTTTACAAAAGAGTTTTAAACAAAACAAAAATTGCATTTAATGAAGATGAGTTAGCATTACTTAATAAAGGTTTAAATTTCAATTTCCCTAACAATAAAAAATCAAGTCTATTTTCAGAATTACTAAATATAGAAGCATCCATAAAAAGTGTAAGATCAGACGAAGTTCGTGATTGTGCACGTATCATCATAGGGAATAAAGCAAAAGTTATTTTGAAAAACCAGCAGCGATCAAAGAAACAGCATTTAAAATATAAGCCTTTACAGCGAACCTTATCAAGCATCAAGAATAAACTTGCCGAACACAACGCTCTGATAACCAAAGCAGATAAGGGCAGTTCGATTGTTATTCTATATAATGACGACTACGTAGGAAAAGTTACCGATTTTATGAATAAGAATAACATTGAACCTTTAAACAAAGATCCCACACTCAATAACGCTAAAGAAATCAACAAAGCCATTACCAATAGTAAACATCTGATCACACCTAATGAAAAAATCGCACTGAAAGTTCCGAATCCTCGAGCCCCTATATTTCGAGGTCTTCCAAAGGTCCACAAACCTAATATCCCCATCAGGCCTTTGGTCAACTTTATGCCGAGTCCAGCCTACAAACTAGCAAAGAAACTGGATAGTATAATTAGAAACCACATTATCTTAGAAAATAACCATAGTATCAAAAATAGTTTAGAACTGATTGAGAAAATACAGTCACACAAAGTCAACGGAAACCACAAATTAGTATCGTTTGATATAGTGAATCTGTATACAAACGTACCCATACAGGAAACCATGGTAATATTGCGACAGAACTTAATAAGGAATTCCAACTTACCCCCTGAGTCCATAGAGGAACTCTTATCAATGACGCAATTAGTGCTAAGCCAAAACTATTTCCAATTTCAGAATAATTTTTACAACCAAAAGGAAGGATTAGCCATGGGCTCCCCACTCTCCAGCATCCTAGCAGAAATATTTTTAAACAGTTTTGAAAATGAACATCTATTTTCACCTGACAACCGATATAGGGATAAAATAGTTTTTTACCACAGATACGTCGATGATACCATCGTACTATTCAACGGCAATAGTAGACAACTCTCTTTGTTGAACAACTATATGTGTAACATACACAAAAATATGAAATTCACGCTTGAAGAGGAGGAAAACAACAGTTTGAATTTTTTAGATCTAACCATAACAAAACAGAACTCAGCATTTACCTTCAAAATTTACCGAAAACCAACTATTACAGACCAAACCATCCACGCAGACTCTCATCATCCCCATTCACAAAAAATAGCCGCATACAATAGCTTTGTACATAGATTGCTTTCAGTGCCAATGAGTCAATCGAACTACAACGATGAAATAAACATTCTCAAACACATTGCTGTCGCTAACGGTTATCAGAGCAATATTATTGATAAATTAATTCTCAAACACCAAAAAAGAAAAACATCAAAAACAAAAGATAAAAAAACCTATGTTTCAACGGAGTACGGCTCATCTCTAAGTACTAAATTCAAAAATATTATGGCCAAAAACAACGTCACTGTATCGTTTAAAACAGTAAACAAACTTGGGTCTTTATTAAAAGAACGGCCCCAAACGACAACTCCAATTTTCGATAAGACTGGCGTTTATAAGATAAATTGTGACAACTGCTCTAAATACTATATTGGCCAGACAGCTCGTTCCTTCAAAAAAAGATTCAGAGAACATTTACCAAGAAAAACAACATCCGCTCAAACCTCAACTTTTGCCGAACATTTAGTCTCAGATAACCATAATTATACAAATATCGACAACAACATGACAGTACTGCATCTATCTAACAACCATTTTAATAGAAACACACTAGAAGAATTCGAAATATACCGAGCTGTAAAACTTGACAGACAAAACATCTTAAACGACAAGCTTTCCTTCCAATCAAATTATATTTATGATACGGCTATCAAAGTACTAGAGAAAGAGTCAGGAATGAATGGGATGGGACCTACAACAGCTGACTGATAACAAGATAAAAGGAGTGACGTCATCGCACCGACCGACCACGTTGACCGGTAGTCTAGACCTTGCATCCATCCCGGTCGTGTCACATCATTCCTTTACAGTTACCGTTGTTCGTTTAATCGTGTTAAATGTACCGTTTTTACGTGTTAATGTCCGTGTTCGTGTTCGTGTTTTTATGTACATTTATGTGTAATGACGACCTTCATATGAAGTGACCACCATTTGACATCCTTGACACCTTCGCCTGAAGATGACTTTGTAAAAAGTCGAAACTAGTTGCGACACTAGCAACATTAGGATTACCACGAAGTATTTACACCATTTTAACCTTAGTTTAGCATAAAATAATTTAAAAATAGTAAATTTATTAAGGGATTCCATGGTTAAATAATGTTAACTCTATGTTTCAAATAGGCACACCTCAGTGTTTTAAGATTAACAATAATTACAAGAATAGTTTTTTACATCTAGCAACTAACTATGTTTGTGTGTCTAATAACAGCAACAATAACAAAACAACAATAATGTTCAACAATAGAAAAGGAATCTTGTTTCCTACGATTTTGATATTTAATAAAAAAAAAAAAAAAACAGCTGCTTATTCAAAAGTAATCTTGATAACTACCAAACAGCTGATGTTAAACTAACTGTAGGGGTCCAGATGCTTATTTATTTATGTTGTTATATCAAAGTGTGTAGGATTGAATTCTCATTAGCAAGTTTTGCTGTATAAAAAGAAATCCGAGCAAGAGTTTGGGTAAACCATTATTTAAAATAGTTCATACCACCTAACACTTCTCACACATTTATAATATTGGATGAAAGTTTATTATTATTATATGTTGTATTATTATAACTTTTTTTTACTTTTTCAATATGATTTATACAATATTAGACCATACAGAAGTTAATATTCAGAAAGTTTTGGCTGAAGCAATATTTCCTAAGTTGATTCCCACAAATATTGTCATTTGTTGCTTATGTATCACTCAACATTATATTTTACATTGTCATTGCTGAAAAATATTGTTATAAGGAAAATATTAAAAAGTTAGGCCTGTTCTTTCATTTAAGCACTTTTTCTGAGGTTAAATCACAGAACCCACGCTTAAACCACCATCTGATTTTCTGGTTGAATGTAAGTTTAGTAACCAAAAACTTAACAACCAATGGTCCAGCAAGGAATTTTTCTTATCATTCCTAAATGTTGGAACTTTATGCCGATTTATTTGTGGTAGACAGTTTTAAAACTCTTGTAGAATTGAAATTCCTATCTGAAGTAGAATATGTATCCTTAAATTTAATAAAAAACATAATATCTCAATTGGTAACCATACAATTTTAAAACAACTGTACATTTCAGATTTTACAATACTAAAACAATAAAAAAATTCAACTCGGTTGGTAAACATTAAACAAAATAAAACAATTATTAAATACGTTATAGCCATTGCTTTGAAATAAATGTTACACTGCTATATACACAACGAATTAATCAACAATCGACAAAGCATTAGCCAATATTGTACATCGCTTTGCATCACATTGACAAAAAGCCTCATGCTGTTGGAATGTTCAGAGGTATTTCGTTAACAGACATTACCAACCTTACGAATATATTCTACAACAACTTCCTACAAGTCTAGTTATTGTCATCCTCGAAATATCATTAAAAATTATTACTTCATGACATCGAAAACAAATACAATACAGGAACTAGATTACAATCATTCAAATCATGTTGAAAGTTTAACAAAATCTATAGAGAATGAAAATTCCTACGTATTGTATTGATATGAAAAATAATACTCTCTAGGAGGAGACAACGATGGGCTGGAAGACTTTTACACTTTGGCCGGTGCTTGCTTGCCGACAACCATCATCGACTTTTGTAGAAGTCTGGTTAGCGCTCCTGAAAAATCAGACATACCATTGAACAACCTGTATTGCTTATAAATGATTTTTAGGTAATCAAAATTCCCTTGAGTACCGGTAATCTACACAGCGGTAAACTTTTTCTACAAAACCAAACAGTACTCAAGCTCATTCAAAAATAACATTTGAAAATAAGAAAGAACGAACAAGTTTAAAGTTATAAAGAAATTAGTTGTTTATGAGCATCAGTCACAGAAACAGATATAAGTTAAAGACAGTGTAAACTATATCAGCCAGATCAGCTGTTTTACTGTTACATTGTTGTATTTTACTTATGAGAGAGAAATTTATAATAAACACAAATAACGAAAACTGAAAGGGACAAAAAGTGTATTTTGAAGGATAGAGCTTATAGAGAAGCTAGAGTTTGCTTGTCATAATACATCTGCAATTGGATTTATTTATGAAAGCTATTATTTTATAAAAAGCATTAATAAACCATCGATAAAAGCCTTGGCATTAAATTTTGTAACCAATTCCAAAATATTAATCATATTATACAACCTAGGGCAAGCATAAATTTGAAAATATTCTTAAGTTAAAAGCTTAACAAAAATTACAATTGTTACAAATAACTACAGTACCATTATTTTTTTCTATCAATCATAAAGTCACTTGCTTAAATCTATTTTAAGTTTGATTAGCTAATGTGCAATTACACAATAGTTGTAGGTGCAGTAGACAGAAGGGAAAAATACAACACTACAATAAATTATAAGTAAGTATCGAAGATTCCCAAAATAAATAATCGCTACTCAGTAGTAGACAAATATTTCTTGATCAGCCACTGCCTGAGTATGTGGACAAATAGGATTCCATTTTTGAAAAATTACATTTTTAAGTAATAATGTACAAGTAAGCATTTCAAGAGCATATATTTAGCATATATTTATTTGGGTATCTTAAATACTAAACTTATTTTTAGTAGAGTCTTGCATTCTTGAAACATCATGATGAGATGTGAGATATACTTTAAAATTAATTTAAAGATTTATTTCAACAAAAAACATGATTGAACTTGTAGTTTCAAGTTTTTTAGACTCTACTGTTACGCCCAATTTTGTAAAGCTTATTACTATTACTTCCACCAATAATTACCAGATCCTAAACGGAAGCTGAACAGATTAGTAAATGCATACACTATGTTTAAATTAGTCAGTCAGACAAAACATTATGGTAAGGGTGTGAGTAAGAGATAGAGTGCAAAAGAAAAGGAAGATGGAAAACGAGAAAAAAAAAATTGTCACCTGTTTCTTCTGTGGCCTTACAACCACACACAGCTTTTGTAACACATGGGTCGAAGATGCTGTGGAAATAAAACATGGAAATTATGAAATGATTGGAGAAAGTAAAGGGTAAATTATTAAATAGTTATGAAGTAAATAAACATAATGGATGAGGTTAAACTTAAGTGTTTTTTTTTTTTTTTTTTTACTAAAAAATATATAAAACATAAAAGTTAAGATAACACTGGATAGTGGAAATCTTAACTACTTTTGGCTGCTCATTTTAGCGAATTTCCTTATAGGGAAGTAGCTATTACCGTAGGTCTCATGGTAACACTTAGGCCCGGGACCGATTTACTTTTTCATTTTGATGTCCCCAGAGGCCAAAAACACCATTCGTTCAAATTTTTATATATGTATATATATATACCGGTATATATATATATATGTATATATATAGATTTATATATATATGTCCGTGAACACGATAACTTGAGTAATTTTTATCCGATTTTGATGAAATTTGGTTTAAAGGTGTAAGGCGGGATACACTTGAATGAGTTTGCGATCCAGCATGATCGGACCATGGAAACAGGGTTTTATGGGGTAAAAATTGGTTTTTCTCACTTTTGACCCTCAAAACACAAAATTTCCCAATTTTCCTCTAAACCTTCTTAAAGAGCTTAAAAAAAACAAACAATTCAGTATATCAAAATGTTTTTGTACGGTTATTGGTTACGGAGAAAACTAAAAAAATGGTCAATTTAAAATTCCCATGTTATTCTTATGGAGAATATTGTAAAATGTTGTAGTTTTTTGCTTGTTTATGGATATTTTTTTTTTTTATCAAACTTGGCAAATATATTCATTTTATTATACTAAGCAATAATTATTTTACTTAAAACACACACTTTATTAGTTTCCTTGTAGCAGCAAACCTAGGTACTCGTTAAACCTAATGTTATTTAAATAGATCAATTGAAAATCAATTCAGCCAAATGGAAATTCGCTAAGACGGCAGGTTTGCTGCGGCTGGGGGATTTTGTTCATCAATACCTAGGTAAAAGAAACTCCTCTTATTAATTGCCATTAGCTGTATGGGCTATTAATTAACAGCTGTGTCTAATAAGGAATATGTCGGCCTTAGTCACTAACAAGACTACAAGATCGCACCAATCATCCTACACTCATCTCCATTCATATTTGGATTTTAAAAATACCTACTTTGTATGGTCGTCATTTCAATGAAAAGTATTAAAAGTATTAAAGTAGCCTATTTATTCACCACAAATTAAAATTGATGATAAATTCAGATCCAAATTTTCCTAACTGACACAAATGAGTCTTGCAAATTCAATATTTTTTACGTTGTCAGATAACCCAAAGAATTTATCACAACCTTTTATCTTGACCAACTGATTGAATTAATCAATCTCCCAATGACAAATACAAATATACAGCAAAAAGAACATATAAATTTAGATAAGACAGTAAAAAGTAAAATAATTAAATCATATATGAAAATTGTAAAATGCATAAAACCTACTATTTAATAACAAAAACATAACACTTTTTTGAAAGCATAAAATAATTCCCCTAAATGAGCAAGATTTCATAATTGGTAAATGTTTACAAAACTACAATACTTAGTAAATTTACTTGACACAGGTTACAGATTATACCACCCAAACTAGAAAAGATTATTTTTGTTTTTTACTGATTTAGTTGCTGTGTTGGCAAGTGAAGAGTCAGGTTTCCAACAAATAAGGATTTTAAAGCTAATTGACTTTTTTTACTCAATAAAACAAAATAATATTCATGGATAACATTATTTTTTAAATTGTGGTAGATACAAATTAATCAAACTAGAGTTTTTAAAACTTACCAACAAATTTCTGGAAGAACATTGGCTTATTCTTCCACGCAATGAATACCAAGTAGACAGGTACGCTCGAGAAAATCATTAAACAACCAATACCTGTGAAAAAATTGAGTCAGTAGAAAATGTGTTGATAGCAAAACCTCACAAGAAGTTGGGCTGAAAAATTACTACAACATATGAAAAACAAAATGTTTCTCATTAATATCCAAACTGATATCTAAAACCTTACAACTGTGCTTGCCAAGCTGTTTTCTGAAAGATTGGCTCGATAATTATTATATCGCAGGCTCCCATATCTAGAGCGGGTCTTAGGCACGAGCGACAGATGCGACTGCACATGGCCCCACACGTTGGGGGCCCCAGGCTTGGTGTAAAATATAAATCAAATTCACTTTTACTTCAATCATAAAAAAAAGGATGCATAAATTCTAACATTATACTTTACGATTTTTCTTGGCTAGTATTGTTGGGATACTACTTTTTTGGTAGTAAGAGGTCCCGCTCTGAATGTTTGCACTGAGCCCCGCACCACCTAACGCCGGCTCTGTGGCCACATCTCTAATATTTAGATTGTCCCTGTGCTTCCCTCCACCTTTTGGTGATGCAGATGCAAGTGTTAGTTTTTGTTTAGATTATTCTTGTTTTCATAATACATTAATTCAATGTACAATGAACTGCTAATTTAGTCAATGTAAGTTTTTACATAAGATCTCAAAATTTTGCAATGTCTTTAATGGAAGACTTTTTGCTCAGACAAAAGATATACTTACCAGTTTCTACAGGGCTGGCGATCATAGGCACGATGGTTACGAACAAGCTGCACACAATGTACAGGATAGGCCAGAAGAGGTTCACTTTGATTGGTCGAGCCAGATTAGGCTGAGTCCATCTTAGGACTGGCAAACACAGAACGGACACTCCGATACTTAACTACAAAATGAAAAACAAAATTAGTTTACATACTGGTACTTGCAAAAAAAACCTAGTAATTACATTCTAATACTCCTTTCACACTATATATGGTTTATGCTGTCCGGTTTAAAACATTACGATTTTATGCCTTTTCTAGGTTTCTTTCACATTACACGGTTCCTGACCGTAGGGCAAGATGAATTTGTTTACAACGTAACAACACAATAAAACAAAAGTAAACAGTGTCCAATTGACAGGTCAGATTGTAAACAATGAACATTGGAACAGCTGATCTATTTGTACTGGCTTGTGGCTCCCATTAATAAAACCCCTGATAGCTTGGATTTAACACGTTGCCTACCAGCCTTAACTCTCCTCTGTGTGAGGGACTTTGTGAGACCTCTGGTAGTGAATGTGTTGTGTTACATTTACAACATGCACCACTGACAAACGGCCACGGCGCAACAATTGTCCGGTTCAGTGGCAGCGGACGGCTGCAAGACAACCGCTGCTTTTATTACTACTAAAAACAGCAAAAACCCAAAGGAGTATAAATATATCACTTGTATTTATAGGACAATTTCAAACAGTAAAATATTTGGTTCTGTTTTATCTTGCCATTAATATTGTCAAACATCTTCTATATTGACACCAATCATGTTACAATCAAGTACTGACTTCTTGCTAAGAAAATATAGATAAAATAATGATAACTTATCATAATTCGGTCCAGTATTGGTCCTCAGACCATAGTCATATTCAACAATGAAAGTTGGCACTTTAACTACATAACTGTTAAATCATTGTGGGGATTGCTTGAAATAAAATCCTAATTGTAACCATCTTCGGTAAATGTAAAATAGTTTTTTTGTTGACATGATTAAAAGATTTATGAAGAAAATCATACACAATGTTCTTACCCATGTAGCAAAACCAACGTAGTTGATAAGAGCAAAGATGTCGGAGACTGTTAGATACATCATTGAAAGCACTGCCTGAAAAAGACAAGTCTTGGTTAACAAACCTTGAATAAAATTATTAGTTTACAGGGACTCTTGATTTCAATAACAATGGCAAAGGAAATAATATAAAAATATAAAAAGAAGTTGGTTGATATTCAATTCCCACGATAAATATGTTGCCACCTTTAGAATACAAATTATTTTAGTTTAATTGAGCTTTTGGCAGTGTCATGTTCGTAAATTACTGATTTCCGTAGTATAGACCAACTATTAAACCAAATCAAACTGACAGGACAACAACATGCTGTAAATTGTAGCAACCTAATATGTCACATAAATTGTCAAAGAATGTAAAACCAATCGGTTCGTATTATTACAATTGTAGCAAATTCTGTGAGCGACTCAGTTAATTTTTAGCCAAACCAAACTTGAAGGATGACTTGTTATAAACTGTCGCATCTTTTTACATTAAGCCACAACTATTAAAGCATCAACAACTAAAAGAGAATAAAAATTGTCCAGTAGCATATTCTGTGTGAAGGATAATTAAACTATTTTTATCCTTAATGAAAAATTAGCTATAGCAGGTCCATATTATTAGTCATTATTAGTCTCAAAAGTGACTTTTGCGGGGAGAGATTGCATTTACTCGCGAGGCAAAGCCGAGCTTGAAACAGCTATCGAGCCCCGCAATGGAACTTTTGAGACGAGTATTGACATTATTTTTCATTACGATTTCAAAAATTTGTAAACAACATGAATATTTTTGTTTATTCAACTTAGTATGGAGAAAAAACGCTGGGTTTCTGTGCTTATGTTGAGGTACAAAACAATGCAACAGCAAATAATATGCAACTGCTGCATGATCGGTCTGCACCGCAAAATCCCATAACGGTTACTTTCTGTGCAACACAAATGCACAGAAAGTTAACGTTATGTAATTTTGCCATGCAGTAGCAGGATTAACCTATTTTCTTAGCTCATTTTACGTTTAGATAGTGTACTTTTGTGTGTGGAGTGATGAAATAGCATATTACGTTAATAGTCCTGAAAATAAGTGTTTACCGGACGAGTGTGGTTGTTCCCGTGCGAGACAAAGTCGAGTACGGGATTACCATACGAGTCCGGTACACACATTTTGGACGAGTTACATACGATAGTTTACGCCATACTACTAAATCTGTACAAATCCTTATATATTTCCACCAACTAAAGGACTAAAAATTGACCAACTAAGGAAAGGTTATGTTTTTGTTTATAACCAACCACTCATTGCCACCTAAATACAGTATAATCAGCTGATTGGTGTCCTGTAAAACTCATTGCAGAACAGTAGTACGCAATGAAACCCCATTTGAATAAGCTGGCGGCAAACAGCTGTTTTCTGGACTAAATCCTTGCATGGGAAGTTCGTCAAAATAATGTAGTGTGGCGTAAAAACTATTTCAGTAGTGAAGGATGAGAGATGAGCTTTTTGAACAAAACCACCCCAACTGGTACACTCTCTCTGGAGTTTTTCACTCTAACTTGTACTTACCATTACTAGTACGGCTGGGGTGGGAGTAAGGCGGGAAATTTGAATCATAGTGAGAATTTCCGGCATCTGTCCTTCACAAGCACCTGCGTAGAACAACCTGCAAAACATTCAGACAAGAATTTGAATCTGATTCGTAAAACACAATTTATGCTTGTAAAACATAAACTATGTACAGATTTTTAAGTATCAGGGGCGCACCCAGTGATAGGGGGGGGGGGCAACTGACTGGTTGGGGATCAAATTCATTTGGGGGGGGTCCTAAATAAAATGTGTTTTCAAAATCTGCGGGGAGCCCGGGCCCTCTTGCCCCCCCTGGGTACGCCCATGTTAAGTATATTGTATCAGTTACCATCTATTTTGGTTGTGTTAAGTGATAATACCTATACTTCACCATAGACAAATAGAATGAATATCGACTGGCAGCAGTGGTGCGGTTAGCATATGTTCCGGCGCCCACCGCCAGGAGTGTCGTGTAGTTACAGCGCACACCGCTGCAGCGTCTGCTGGTAGCATACAGCTCCTGCGCTCCTTGTCTGCAGCGGTGTGTGCCGTAACTACACGGCACTCCTAGCAGTGGGCGTCAGAAGCTTCCTTTGACAGTCTATATCTATTCTATTTGTCTATGACTTCACCCTCAAATCTGAAGCTTACCAGTTCGATCCTTAAAAGATATAATTTTGGATTCTATTTTCTATTAGTCATTGTGCTGCTAATAACTAATCAGTAACACTTTCTGACAGGACCTGGAGCACTTTTTTAACTGATATTTTTAAATCTCAATAGTATATTAGATAACCAGACAAACCCCAACTTTTGAAGTTTGTTTGCATTCAATATTTTTGCAGGTAACAACTTTTGAGCATTTGTAAACAGTCCAATAAAATTGTGCTCACAGAAGATTATAAAATTTTAAGAAATGGTTTAGTCAAAGACTAAGAAAAATACAGACCTAGATGAGGTAAGGAGGACTCCATTGACAGCACCAAAAGTAGACATGGCTACAAACACGGGAATCGTCCATGCCATGAATCCAAACACTCGGTTAGCGAAGGACTGAAATCAGAATTAGAATCATCTTTATTAACCATTGAGATTACAAATAGTGTTAGATTGCAGTTGTGTAAAAACAACAATAGTGTAGGACTATAATTTGGAATCAATTGTGGGTAACATTGATAAATTCTTTGAGTGGGTAAAACGGCCGGTCCAGGAGCCATGCTTTCAGTGCCGATCTCAGCACGTTCCTTCTCTTGGTGATTGGTGTGCATTTCTTGCAATAGTGAATTATGTAGTTTTCGGCCGATGTAGCATTGTTTAGTTCGTTGTTTAGTTAGCCGTTTAGTTGTAGCTTCAAGTGGTGTGCTGGCAGGGCGTATAGTTCACCATTTCTGGTGTTGTGATAGTGATTCTCCTTAATTGTTCCTTTGCAGATCTCTTACTGGAAATCATCAATGTACCTAACAATCTAGAAACTCATAGTGAATTAAATAATTGAAAATCATGTGTGGTAATCTAAAGACATTACTCATCAGTAGGCTAACTGGTTTTTACAGAAAAGTGGTGCCATCCCCTGATGGTACTTGGAATTGCAGTTGTGAGTGTCATCTAGTTACCTGAATTTACTTAGACGTAGAAAAGAAACCAACCTAACATAGTTTTTACAAGAGCCATATTATTTCTAAAGCTGTATGATGATGTAAAGGTGAATTCTACATTTGGTCTGATTTTCATGTATAACGGAGGGCGGAAATAAAATTATGATCTTTCGGCTTCTTGAAAGTTCAAAATAACAAAAATGCTAAGCTCCACCTAATCCACCTAATAAGATATATTACTTGGTGTCCCAGAAAGAAATGAACTTTTATTTTGTGGAAAGCCGAATGTCCAAGAGAGATAAGATAAGGAGCTTATCAGTCTTTGTAGCTATGCCCGTGGAAAATCATTTGCCATGGATCGCTTTACCTTTGAGCAGCGTGCTTTCTGTTTACGTTACTATTACCAAATGCTTTCTTATGTGACAATTCAACGACACTCCCCTCCCGCGCTAAATACAGACTTCATGATCTCAACCAAACGCCATCAGTGAACATAATTAAATGCTGAGTACTCAAATTTAAAGCGACAGGATCAACTATGAACCCTCGTCCCATCGGTAGCCATAGAGAAGTGTGTTCAGAACAACATATCGAGCATATTACAAAAATTGGGCCGTATTTTTTTTAGGATAACCAAGGGAACACTATGACAGTGAATTCCCAGCGATACAAAACAATGATTGATGATCATTTACAGCCGTTCTTGCAGACGTTATCTCGGGCTAACAGGCAAAGATTGTGGTTCCAACAGGACGGAGCTACGTGCCATACAGTAGGAGACTCCATAACTGCAATAAGGCAGCTGTTTCGTGGGAAAGTCATTTGCAGATTTGGTGACATCAACTTTCCTCCGAGAAGCCCAGACCTAACTTCACTAGACTTTTTTTAGGGTATCTAAAAAGTCGGGTGTATAACACAGCTCCTGCTACCCAACATCGTCTGAAGCAAAATATTCGTAAGGAAATTGAAGCCATCCCACCAAAACTCTGCCATCAAGTCTTTGCAGATGTAAGGTTCCGTTTGGCAGAGTGCCGGCGTCGGAGGGGTCTACATCTGGATGATGTAATATTTCACAAGTAATTTCCCTGAAGTGTACAAACAGGTATTCTTGCAAAAATAGCTCAAAATAAAGCCATTTTTCTGTTTTCTTCGTTTTAAAAACGCTTCCTTTCCGGGACACCCAGTATATTGTTATTCGACAACACAATGATAAATTTAAAGTAATCATGTCTAAATGTTGATAAAGGGTAAATGTCAATGCTGTAGTGAAACATATCGAGGGCCTAAGTCTAATACCACGTATGAGGAAAATGCCTACTTTACAGGAGAGCAAAAAAACGTTGTAATTATTATGGTTTTACGAGAAACAGCTCATTACTTTATAGGAATGTACATGTAGTTATTAAATTTGATAAAAAAAACCACTTCTTATGTTTATTTATTATTTAAAAAGAGTTATTATATAAAAAAAGTAAGATACGAGGTATTGTATTAAACTTTTTTTAAATGTGCCAGTTGGAGGGTTAACTTACGTGGTATTGAAATTGGGTATACGAGTTATTAGAATTACCAATTTGTAAAATACGAGGTATTGCTAAATAAACACTAAGCATTTTTATTATAACAACTTTATTGTTATAACTACTATTTTATTGTATTGCAGAAAAAATTAGAGTATTAAATTATTCCTTAGCAAAAAAGTTAATACAATAATTTTTATAACAAGTTATAACGTATTTTTACAGTAAGAATATTCCTCCTTCTAAGACCCCGTATCTTAACACTGATTTATGACAACGTATTACATAAATTGTAATAAAGCCACAAATAAACTAATTGCATATATACAAAACTGAGTTAATTCTATCTTATATTTACTACATTTTGAACACTGAAATTCTTTTTTTCACTATGAAACTGCATAACAATAACAGACCGGCACAGCTGACCACCTTTTGCACACTGTAAACAATACAAGATACGTGTTGCTAGAAGGAAGGTTTACCAATACTGCAAGATACGAGGTCTACATTTCCCATTTTTTTAAATTATTTCCAATTTTTATAGACTTACGAGGTTTTAGAATTAGGTGAGGGACAATGAAATCTATTTTTTTTACTATAGATCTCAAAACCCTATATTTTGAAGATACGTGGTATTAGACTTAGGCCCTCGATATGTAGTATTGTACAGTATATACAATGAGACACAATAAAAAAAACAGAAAAATAATTTTATAACAATGCAATCATTGAGCGGAGCGAAGCGAAGCTCTTTGGGATAAACTTCAATGCAATCTTTATAACACTTAATCTCAATAACGGCTGAACATATTTTAGCCAAACTTATCAAGGTTGTTTTGTCAAATGTTTGGATTCTTTAGACGTACCTAACCAATTTCAATTTTTGATTATGCCTATATAATTTTAAAGTAACTCAAAGTTTTTAAATTTTAACATTGGTCTTATGGGTTGCCATGTTGGTTACAAAATAACGACGTAAATGTGAAGAAAAAAAAGAATCGTAGCATATGTTCCTAAACACAGTACAAAGGAAAAAATTTGGATGATGACAACTGATCAAATACCACAGAGAAAGTCTTAGGTTTACATTTAAGTCCCAATTTGGAAACGACCACTGATAGAATAGGTACAGTCATAGATAAAACATACTATCTTAGGTACAGTAACTAACAGATTTGATTTACGTAGCTAAATAAGGTTATAGCAAATAGCATTTTATCTTAAACAATTCGTCGGTGAATCACATTCATGGATCCATCTCAAATGGCAAACTTAAACAGATTCACGTCATAGGAAGTGGTGAAGGAAGTAGTAAAGGCGAGAAGTGCGGAGTATAGGAAACGTTAGTGGAGTGGCAGTTAGATAATTGTATATATAATACTAAAATACTATGGAAAGGGAGGGAAACAGGTCCACGAGGTAGGAAGTGGTGAATGAAGTAGTAAAGGCTAGCAGTGCGGAGTGTGGGAACGCTTTATGGCAGTAACATTAATGTGTCTGCAATACTAAAATGTTATGGGAAGGGAGGGAAACAGGTCCGAGACGTAGGAAGTGGTGAAGGAAGTAGTAAAGGCCATCAGTGCGGTGTGTGGGAACCGTCTGTGGCAGTTAGATTAATGTATCTGCAATCTTATAAGCTCTTGGAAGGGAGGGAAACAGGTCCACGACGTAGGAAGTGGTGAAGGAAGTAGTAAAAGCTAGCAGTGCAGAGCGTGGGAACATTTGTATTTTGGATTATATCTATAAACATTTTTTCATTTATCGATTTAATAAAAACCACGAAACATGATTGCTCCGCTCAACTGGCATCATTGCTATGAAAGCAACCCTAGTATTATTTATCAATCAGGAGTACTAAAAACATATGTTTTCACTGCAGTAAAACAAACACATTTTTTCAACTTGTTTACACTCACCACAGCTACGGCCTCCGAACCCAGCACCTCCTCAGGGCTCAGTGTCGTGTAGAAAGCTACGTTGGTGGCGACGTACACCACTGTCACCAGAGTACAGGAGATAGCGATGGCTCTGGGCAGGTTCCTATAATGTGAATAGAAATGTTTTTTGTGTCATCCCAGTTCAAAAACTTGAATTAAATTTTAATTCGTCTTTATTGTTCTTGCCTAAGCTCTTGAGTTATAACGGGGTCTTCTTCCTCTGAAGATACCACAAAAGATGGTGAAATGTTTGGGGTAACTCAAACATCTTACCCATTCAAGAACTCAGGCAAATCTAAAAATGAAAAAATAAAAACGAAAAAAGGAAGAAAAGAATAAAAAGAAGAAGGTACTACAAAGGTAAATCTAATATAAATAAAAACCTTTTTCTCAGTTTACAGATTACTGATTGTGAAAGAACTCCTGTCAACAGTATGGGTATCCGAGTAGTTATGGAATGATAAGAGGATACTTGAAAACAATTATAAGAGTTCTAAAATAAGAAATAAAAAACTTACTTGATGGGATCTTTCAGCTCCTCAATGATGAAGTTCAAATAGTTCCTGAAATCACATACAAGAATATATAAATACCCCCGCCGCAGCAAACCTGCAGACTAAGCGAATTTCCATTTGACTGATTGGATTTACACTGAAATGTCTACTTAAAACTATAACATTTATTCTTGATTTAAATAGAATTAGTTTAACAAGTACTTAAATTTGCTGCATCAGGGAGGGTAAAACTGTTTTTTTTTTGTAAAATGTGAATAGTTACCGGTAGTAAGAAATAAAAACATTTTCCAAATTTGATCAAAATATGTTCACAAACAAGCAAACTACAACAGTTTACTTATTCTCCATAAGAATAACATGGGAATTTTAAATTTACAATTTTTTGGAATTTTCTCCGTAACCATTAGGCGCATAATAACGCTTCAATATACTAAATTATTTGTTTTTTTAAGCTCTACAAAATGGTTTGGAAAGAAATTGCTAAATTTTATGTTTTTTGGGTAAAAAATGGGAAAAACCTATTTTTACCCCATAAAACCCCCCGTAAACCCCCGTTCCCATGGTCCGATCATGCTGGATCGCGAACTTGTTTGAATAAACGTACGTTTACACGTTTCTACCAAATTTCATCAAAATCGGATCATTTTTGCTCGAGTTATCGTGCTGACGGACACATATATATATATATAAATATATATATATATATGAATTTGAACGGATGGTGTTTTTGGCCTCTAGGGACCTCAAAACGAAAAAAAAAAATCGGTCCCGCGTCCAGGTCTTACCATGAGTACTACGGTAATAGCTTATTCCCTATATGGGAAATTCGCTAAAAGAATAAGATTTCATGATATACCTATACCAATTAATAACTATAACAAAGGTTAAAATAAAAATACCCCCGCTGCAGCAAATCTGCCGACTTGGCGAATTTCCATTTGCCTGGATCGATTTTCAATTAATCTATTAAATTAACATTTATGTTTAACGAGTACCTAGGTTAGCTGCTACAGGGAAACTATTAAAGTGTGTTTTTTTATTAAAATGTCAATAGCTCAGTATGAAGTAAATAAATCTGCCAAGTTTGATCAAAATATATCCATAAACAAGCCAACTACAACATATTACTAGGTGGCGTTCGCAGAGGCATCCACAAAATTGAGCGGAGTCATCAAGGGTTCATATTATATTGTTTTTGTAATACTGCAGTAAAAACAATCGTATGTAGCAGTAAAAGTAGAAATTTTACTCTTTAGGGAGTAAAAATCGTTTTTAGCCTCTTATGAGTAAAAATCAGCTGTTGTCAACTCATTTGTAAATTTCTATTGTAAACGATTGCATGTATCGAAATATGTATCGATTCGTGTTTCGTAATAATTTTAACCTACAGGTTACAGTCTCTTCCCATAGCATTTTAGAATTGCGGATGAATTAATCCATTCCCACACTCAACACTGCTCACCTTTACTACTTCCTTCACCACCCCCTACGTCGTGGACCTGTTTTCCCCTCTTCCCATGGACTTTAAGTATTGCAGATACATTAATGTAATTGTCAAAGACAGTTCCCACACTCTGCACTGCAAGCCTTACTACTTCATTCGCCATTTCCAACGTCATAGACCTGTTTCCTTCCCTTCTCATAACATTTAAGTATTAGATGCATTTATCTAACTGCCGAAACGGTTCCCTCACTCTGCACTGCCAGCCTTTACTACTTCCTTCACTATACTTTGAACGTCGAGGGGCCTCAGATACATTAATCTAACTGCCACAGACGGTTCCTACCATATGCTCATACTTTACTATTTCCTAAGCCACTTCCTACATCGTGTACCTGTTTTCATCACTTTCCATAGCATTTTAGCATTTTAGATACGTTAATCTAATTGCCACAGACATTGACCACACTCCGCACTACATTCTTCACCACTTCCTACGTCACGGACCTGTTTCCCTCCCATTCCGTAGCATTTTAGGATTGCAGATAACTTAATCTAATCATCATAAATAGTTCCCACACTCCGGACAGCTTGCCTTTACTACTTCCTTCACCACTTCCTACGTCACGGACCTGTTTCTCTCCATTTCCATAGCATTTTAGGATTGCAGATACCTTAATCTAATCGTCATAGACAGTTCCCACACTCCAGACAACTCTACTTTACTATTTCCTTCACCACTTCCTACGTCACGGACCTGTTTCTCTCCCTTTTTGTAGCATTTTAGGATTGCAGATAACTTAATCTAATCGTCATAAACAGTTCCCACATTTCGGACAGCTTGCCTTTACTACTTCCTTCACCACTTCCTACGTCACGGACCTGTTTCCCTCCCTTCCCTTGGCTTTATTGGATTGCAGATACCTTAATCTAATCGTCCTAAACAGTTCCTACACTCCGGACAGCTCGCTTTTACTACTTCCTTCACCACTTCCTACGTCACGGACCTGTTTCCCTCCCTTTCCGTAGCATTTTAGGATTGCAGATAACTTAATCTAATCATCATAAACAGTTCCCACACTCCGGACAGCTCGCCTTTAACTGTTTCATTCCCTTTCCATAGCAATTTGGGATTGAATATACCTTAATCTAATCGTCATAAACAAATCCCATACCCCGGACAACTCGCCTTTACTACTTCCTTCACGACTTCCCACGTCACGGACCAGTTTACCTCCCTTCCCTTAGCATTATTGGATTGAAAATACCTTAATCTAATGGTCACAAACAGATCCCATACCCCGGACAGCTCGCCTTTACTACTTCCTTCACCACTTCCTACGTCCCGGACCAGTTTACCTCCCTTCCCTTAGCATTATTGGATTGAAAATACCTTAATCTATTGGTCATAAACAGTTCCCAATCTCTGGACAGCTCGCATTTACTACTTCCTTTACCACTTCCTACGTCACGGACCTGTTTACCTCCCTTCCCTTAGCATTATTGGATTGAAAATACCTTAATCTATTGATCCCACACTCCGGACGACTTGCCTTTACTACTTCCTTCACCACTTCCTACGTCACGGACCTCAAGCTAGTGACGTCATTTGATTATATTTATGATCCATACCGTTTCTGTTCTAATATCTGTGGATTAATGCTATCAGCTATTTCTTTATCTACTGCATTCAAAAGTCAACAGCTGATCATATGTTTTTGTTTATGTGTCAAACTGTCAAATACTGCTTCCATAAGGATTACATTGAAACTTTGAGACCCAGTGGGGCGGATTCCTGAGAGATTTTTTTAACGCCATATAGATGTTGGCACTCACCGATATGGTCTTTATCACCATGCAAAATTTGAAAACGATTGATTCAGCCGTCTAGGAGGAGTTTGCGTATTACGAAATGCATAAGAGTCGACGTATAAGAGCTTCGCTCGCTCCGCTCAATAATATTCTCCATAAGAATAACATGGGAATTTTAAATTAAACATTTTTTGAATTTTCACCGTAACAAATCACCGTACAAAAACACTTTGATATACTAAATTATTTGTTTTTTTAAGCTCTTTAAACAGGTCTGGAGAAAAATGGATAAATTTTGTGTTTTAAGGGTAAAAAATGAGAAAAACCCATTTTTACCCCATAAAACCCCCCGTAAAACCCCGTTCCCATGGTCTGATCATGCTGGTTCGCGAACTCATTCAAGTTTATCCCGCCTTACACCTTCAAACCAAATTTTATCAAAATCGGACAAAAATTACTCAAGTTATCGTGCCTATATATATATATATATATATATATATATATATATTATATATATATATATAGCTAGATATATATACATATATAAAAATTTGAACGAATGGTGTTTTTGGCCTCTGGGGACATCAAAATGAAAAAGTAAATCGGTCCCGGGCCTAGGTCTTACCATGAGACCTACGGTAATAGCTACTTCCCTATAGGGAAATTCGCTAATATAATTTTCTTTGTTATATATGTGCTTCCTATATTTTACTAATAAAAAAGTTTGCAAGTTTGATCTTATGGTTAATACTGGACCCACCTGTCATTGATTATAGCATAAGCATAAGTAGTTTGTATTAGTTAATAACCAATTAAGATACATATTTGCATTGTATATGTATGTTATATGGTATATATTCTATGGCATCTAACTCCATCTATTTGATATTTAAACAAATATGTACATAAATAATCACTATTATCTGATTAGGAAATTAGTTAAACAAGACATTGATTTTTATTCAAGAAAAAATTAATTTCAAAGCGATTGTAGTAAATTTGATATATGCTCATGCGTTTATATGACATATTTGGCTCTATAATTACTTTCAGTTCAGCAGTTTAGTTTTCTTTTAATATTTTGATACACTAAATGCAATTATTTGGTGAATTTTTATTAATAGCCATATAATTATGGAAATATTGTTTGATACTTACCATCCGTTATATGCAAACAGTCCCGAGTAAAACGACAAAGCTATCGATGTTACCTCTGTTTTTGAGTTGTCGTAAGTAAAATGTTGAGTATGACCTGAAAAGAAAACCAAGGATATAACAAAAGCTGAAGTTATTAAAAAAATTCATTTTAGTACATGTCAAACACCCTTGTATAAAAATGTCTTACAACAATTCCTACATAGTTCTTTTACTCATTTTTCTTTCTTCTTAAAACTGACTAAATATTACCAACAAAAAAACAGTTTTTTATTCCTAAAAGCAAAGATTACACATGCTATATAAAATGTATGATCTTTGCAACAAGTATTCAATATGAGTGGGCACCATTAATGTATCATTGAAGCAAGAAAAAAGTAAGATCTTCCAAAACGTTGACAGGTGTCCCTAAAATACTTGTTGGAATTTCTAAAAAATAATTAAATTTACTGATAGGGATGTGTCCAGCTAGTAATGGAGGCACGGACATACCATTCTTTATAAGCATCAAAAGTATAAATCCCAACAATGGGGTCAAATAAAAAGATGGACTTTTTGTCACTAGACAGTCAGATATAGTGACTTTTGAGTTTTGATTAATCAATTGTGTCTCCTTATGTGGGTCATGCTTATCTACATGAGATGCTATTTCATTCAATACCGGTAAGCATAACTGTAAAATTGCTTGAATGAATATTTTAAAATATATAATCCTCAATATTGATTTTGAAACGCCCGTAAAACGTATATCATGTTCTCCCTATCAAAATTTATCATGGGTGATTTTATTTAATGTGTTAACTTTCTATTTTTAACCCATTCAAACGGCACACCTAAAAAAGCAGAATGATTTTACTCAATACATTTTGAGACAATATTCATTGTAAAACTTTATTTTAGAATTTGTAGTCTTGTTTGTATTGTAACACTATAAACTAATCATAATATTAATGTACCAGAGTCCAATGCTAAGTATGAGGGGTTGTAGGTAGCAAAGAAAAGAAAATAGTTTAATTAAGCCACTGACACAGTGTACTGCTAAAAATCTATATTTTTTCCATGAAATATTCTTGAACAATACCCAGCTGAATGGGAAATATCTCGTTAAGGTCCAATTCCTATGTGGCGACTGATACGACTCTCTAGTCACTTGTCTTAATTCCTATGCCACGACTCCTGCGACTCCCACGACTAGTGACTTGTGTGATTGCACTCTTGACCGTCATGGAGTAAGCACAGTTGGCAGCGAATATATTACATAAAGAAGAGGAAGAAAAGGGAATATTAATGGGCATCGTTAAAAACAATGAACATCCTAATCCATTGTTTATGGTAAGGCGAAAAGAGGGGTTTCAGAGTATTTTTATTCAGAAACATCTTCGTCAAGTATTGGGGGTGCTTGGGGTTGAAAACGTATGGGTTGTGACGAACCAGTTCCATCAACTTTGAATTATCTATGAAGGTACACACCTCAAACTCCGTATGTATAAACTATAAATTCGTTACAGTCGCGTGACTGAAGCGACTGAACTGCTCACGAAGCAGTCGAGTCGTGACGACTCTAGTTGCGTGGCTCTAGGCGCTCCAGTCGCGCGGCTGTAGAGGCTCAATAGGAATGGGTTGTATTTGCTTTGCATTGAAGCAGTCAATTTTTACAGCCGTACGGCTCGAATAGAATCGTAACAGTCGCAGGATATGAAATTGTACCTGATTAACTTTCATACACAGTATTCAAGGTCGAAGGTAGTGTCTAGATGTTTTGGAAAGCCTCATCCCTAATATGAGGTTGGATTAGATCTTTTCCTTATCTCTATCACTTTTCAGATGATTAGAAGATTTGATTGTAGGTAGAACCTTTGACTTGTAGAACTCTCTAGAATAGTTTGAACTCCTTTGTAGTGATGAATTCATATCCAAACTCAAACTAAATGCAATAATCGAGTAAGGTGAGCTTAAGACTAATTTGGAGTCATCATGTACTACATCAGATTAGAGATATACAAAAGAATCATGAGTAGATATAACTTCAGTCTGGAATAATGTTACTGTCCATTTAACATCGTAGATAGATAAATTACTACATTTCAATTTAAAATGAACAAAATAAAATTACAGTTATAATATAACCTGGGACATACATATTGAACACACTATCACCTCTAAAGAGGTATTCGCTTAAGAAACAATTTATTGACTTTTTGTATAGATCTTCATCATGTTGCAAGTATGATGTAATAAAATAACATTCAACAGAAGATCAAGTTAAGAACAAAATGAGGCTATGAGGTCTTTGACATGTTAGAGAGAAAACTGTTTAAGTTATAAAGTACAGTAACCATCTCATTGGGATGCCGAAGTTGTGTGGTCGAGGTGGAATGGAGCTTTGCGTCAAGTTTATTAAATTATCCAAGCCATCTCTTGCTCTAGCTTGGAGTCTTAGTCTTTCCTTTACTCAGAAAAGAAAAAAATTATCTGTTATCTTATAAGTTTAAAGACACATTGATGATAATTTGTAGATCAAAATTAGACAATTGATAACTCTTGGACCCCGGATATGAAAATTGAAAATTCAACAAAATATATGAAATATTTTACCTTTAAAACTGTCATGAAACTAAATAAATAATTAATCAGTGGATTGAGATTACAATGAGAGCGCTAAGATCTATAAATCCATAGTAGCAAACTTTCACAACTTTTGTAATTTTTAACAATCCCACAATGCCACAATATAAAAGATTAAGAAAGCATTTCAGATGGTAAATTCATTGTATGTACGTATACTAGGTGGCCCGACAGACATCGTCCTGTCCTAATGTGGTTTTATGTAAAAAATGCTCTTTCTTTTTTAATATGAGCTCGTTCGCATGGCTCAATCACGTCCCGGTTGAAGTTCGTTCGCTACGCTCAATCACCTTTAGGTTGGAGCTCGTTTGCTGTGCTCACTTGCCTTCAGGTTAGCTCGTTCGTTACGCTAACTCGCCTCCACATTGAAGTTTGTTTGCTACGCTCACTCACCTTTTAGTTGCAAATTAGCTGTTGTCATAAAAAAAAATAATAATAGTGCTGCACCCTGTTGTTGGTAAACCTATAAACTTTTTAATGCTATTGAACATCACAGTCACAGAATTATTTTTTTTAGTTGAACCAGCTGTTAAGATTCTTTAATTCCATTTAAATATGAGTACTCATAAGGTTAACATGGGAAACTCCAGAGCCACTGGGGCGGAGCCCTTTTGACGGATCTGTACCAAACTTCACAAAAACTATCCTTGAATAATGCTTAATAATGCCTGAAAGTTTCATTACAGTCTGTCGAGCGGTTTCGGAGTCCATAAAGGACAAACAAACAAACAAACAAAAATACATTGGATTTTATATATATAGATAACATACTAAAATACAAAAATAATTTAAGATAACACACAAAAATTAAAGGTAGGTGAAATGAAAAAATCTTTAAAATGACTTTAAAATGTAATAGTCTTAAAAATTTGAGCACATAGTTTACTTGAACTTTAACTCTTACTTATTCAAAACGACTCTGTACCGCAACAACCCTTGATGACTTAATTCAAGTGATAATAGTGATGAATTTACAATTGAATTTGCAAAAGCACAGTTCACTTCACTAAATGAAAACTTGCTCAGTGAGTTCTACTTTTGATTGATGGACCTGTTAAAGTCACAGCTAGTTTTATAATGGGAATTGACATTGTTGTGAAAATATTGTGTTATAGCAGGTAAATAAATACAGCTTGGATAAAAATAATTTATTTACACAATGAGCATCTAATTCACACTTTCATCTTTGTTTGACCTCTTGTAGTTATTCCCGTTGTAGTAGACATCAGCTGTTCTCTGAAGGTCCTGTGACTCTACGTTGTAGCCCTGACCCTGTGTTGGCTGTAGTGTTTGCTGCTGATACTTGGAAAAAGAGTTTGGAACCATTCCGATCCTTGTTGGATATTGATACTGCTGATTATTATCATAAACTTCTTCTTGATATCTTAGACTTGGTTGCTGTTCTGGATATTGGATGTTATTTTCATTGTATCTTCCCTGTGATGATTCCTCTTCATACTGGTAGATTCCGGTGCCTTCGGGGTACTTCTGGTAACCTTGCCTTTGCGGTAGGTAGTCATGTATATTAACCACATTTTTGTGTGGTGGTAAAGAGCTTACTGCTTTTATTTGTTTTGGAGCGATGTTTTGGGATGGACTATCTTTGGCAACTTTTTGATCATTTTGAGTTTGGGTTTGGGGTAACTTTTCCGCTGGGAAACTAAATCCATTTATTTGGTAAGGAAACAGAAAACCCTGTGTCTGTGGTTGATAAAATCTCCCAGCATTTTCTATTTCAGTATTGAAATAAGGGAGAAATAGTGGTTGTCCCAAAATTTGCCTCTGCCCTTCGTAATATCTTTGAACATCGTTGTCTTGCCTACTCTCCATATTTTCTTTTGGATTATCGGAGTGATTTCCTTCACTAGAAGGTTGTTGAACGGAGTTTCCGCTAGATGAAGACTCAACCTTTGAGTCATAAGCTGGTCGTTCAGGTTGATTTGTTTTGGTCAAATTAATAACCCCAGCTTCTTCTCTTGCATCGTTTTCATAGTTTGACTGAAGTCCTCTCGAGAGAAGATCACTCGCATCGTGCCATCCATTCCCAGGAGAATACTGTGCAGGATATTGACCAAGTAGAGGATGCACTCCGTTCTGAGGAGGGTGAAGATAAATCTCAGCTTGATAATTGAAATGTTGATCAGCCGGAGGAGGAATTCGTGGTTCAACCTCAACTGGAAAGGTCATTCCAGGAATTTGTTTCCCTTGGAAAGGAATGATCAGGATTTGAGCTGCCAAAGGAGCTAAGGGATGTTGCTGTTGAAGAGACGCCAAATTCAAAAATGGATTTGCTGGAGGTATCTGAGAATTTAGAGGAGCTTGATTTTGATTGGCTTGATCAGGAGCTGCTACTTGCGGTGCAGGACTAGGAGCTTGGGTCACTACTGGAGGCGGACGTTTGGAAGGCGCTATAAACTCTACATCTGGGGCTTGTGTTGGCTTGAAAAGATTTTTCTTCTGCTGGAAAAGATT